CCCCTCTTACAATGCTGTGATTGCTAGTATCACTCAGCCCTCTGTGAACAGTAAACAGCCATCAGGTGCTAATGATCCATTGTTAGGCTGATGGTCCTTCTTGAGCATGTGAGCAGTTGGTTCTGGTTGATCCACTCTGAGAAGGTGCTATTTAAGAGACTGAGCTGAATACAGCACCTCAGACTGAAGAAGTCCTCAGGATGAAAGACGAAACGTTTCTACATTTCTTTGTTTTGTTTTTTTTTAATGTCCAGAGGACCAGTATGAGATAATTACTTAATTGTGTTAAAATATACTTAACAAACTCTTGAGTTTTATTACAAGTGAATCTCAATTTCAAAGGCTCAACCCTTGAAATGATGTCCTCAATAATTATTTGTTCTGAGTTGTTCATTTGTCTAAAAGCAGGACACTAAATTAACAAAGTCGTGGCCAAAAGTTTGGAGAACGTTACACATTTGGTTTTCACAAAGTCTACGGCCTCAGTTTTTTATGACCTTCTGTCAGATGTTTATACGGTAAAATGAAGTACAATTAAAAGTTTTCCATATATTATTTTTACTTTTTATTGACAAACACATCAGTTCAAGCAAAAACTTTCCTTCTTCTTGAAGACACCTCCTGGGCATGCTGGCTTCTTGATGGCAACCCATTCTCGACTAACCAGTGCTTGGAGATGATCAGAGCTAGGCAAGTCACGATAAACAATTCATCGCATGATAATTAAAAATGATCAAACTCATTTTCATTTATCGCTTTATCGTTTCTTCGTGTCTCTCTTTCCTCTGAAGACACTGGATGACAAAAGACTCACTGACCCCTCCATCTCTCTTTTCTCTTTAAAATACATTTTAACGATCCAAAATCACGTTTTTGGATCGTTAGAAGCAGCTAAGCTAAGAAGCTAAGCTACGAGCTAAGCTAACAGGCCGACCTCGGGGAAAAAAACTCCGTCTTGTCGAAGCTCCAAAACTCACGGTTGAAACCCGTGTCTTCGTGTAAAAAGTTGTTTTTCTCTACAAAAAGAATCTGAGAACTTGTTTACTGCTTTTTATTAAAAGCTTTGTGTGAAAAATGCTAAAGAGCTCAAACCACACCGAGCGTCCGCCATTTTGAGAAATGAAGAGAGACAGCCCATGTCATGTCCCATTTTTTCTTAAAGAGACACGCTGCTCGCTCCCTCACTATCCATCCTTCAGTTCAAACGGTCTTATACTGCATGCAGTGGTCAAAAAAGGTACTACACACAAAAATTAACCAACATTTCTTCTTAAATTTGACAGTAATTACTAATTCTTGTCAAATTTCAAACAATATTATCGTTTATCACAATAATTTCTGAGACAGTTAATCGCCCAGCAACATTTGTTATCGTGACAGGTCTAATCAGAGCTTCTGGGATTCTTTGAGGATTGAGCACAGTTTCTCAGTGGGACTGAGATCTGAGGAGTCGTGGACCCAACATTTCAACGTTTTGTTCTCTGAGCCACTCGGTCATCAACATCTGTCCTCCGTGGTTTTCTTGGAGAGAAGGGACTTCTTTGCTGCCAAGTCTTCGTCTCACTGTGCGTCCAGATGCTCTCACACCGGCCCTCTGCCGAGCGAGTTCTGCACTGCTGGTGACCCGATCTCGTAGCTGCACCCTCTTTAGATGACGTCCCGAAGCTTGCTTGACTTTCTTGGTGCCCTGAAGTCGTGTTCACGGCAGCTGAACAACTCTCCTTGAAACTCGTGATTCCACAAATGGTTGATTTGAAGCAGCAGTGTCCCTGAAATTCATCTGAGCACTCGTCACCATCTGGAGTCCATACAAAGAGCCTCACTGAGGCAGCAAACCGTGGAAACAAGCACTTGTGCCATTCTCAAAACTTTTGGCCACGACTGCAGTTTCTTTTGTCAGAATAGATCTGTCAGCCAGCTAACTGATGCAGTATCAAATCCTGCATGTTGTGTGAGTGTGCACCGAGGCGTCGCTCACAACCTGCTGAGCGCTCTACAGACGGTCTACAGGTAAAAATTGGGCCAAACCGTGTGCGTATGTGTGCATCACTTGCACGAGTTTAACCCTGAGACTTTGAGTCCTGAACGTGTAAATTCTACGAGTGTCACAAAACGTTTCGTCTGGTGTGCACCTGCACCGAGCCAGGTGCACAGTGCACGAGGCTTTTGTGATGACTCTAAGATACGAGCACTTCAGACGTGCCGTTTGTGTGACTCACAAGAAGAAAGTCGGACTTTCTGCAGCTATGTATGTATGAGGCAAACTTTCCCAACCTTTGAGCAAGTCAGGCATGCCTCCTGTACTTGACGAGTACTTTGTCCAAACTTCTTCTCAAACCTTCTGTCAGTGACCACCGGGACTGTGACCTACCGACCGCTGCGATCTGTGTACGTCTTGCAGTGCGTCGTGAGCTTGGCTTAACGCAGCCACGTGTGACGACGCTTCACGACGTCCAGCTGAAGACAGTGACGGAGCAAGTTGTCTCCAGGCTCCGAGTGTAAGTAATGCAGCTTCATTAGGACTAAACTGAACGCAAGGCTGCGCTCAGTTTTAGGACAAACTCATTTTAAACCCTCCTGAAGCCGGCGTGTTTTATCTTGTAGGTCAATCCCTCAGTGCTCAAACACAAAACCTCTCTTCCTCCGTCCTGTTTCCTTCAGAGCTGCTGCAGCTTCAAGCTGCACCGACTCTTTGCTTTGTTTACCGCTCATCCCACTTCACAGCAACATTTCTCTGCACGACGAGCTGAGGAGGTTATTTCCATGGAAAACAACAGGAAGTAAAGACGTGTGCTGTGACAGAAAGAGAAACGTTTCTGTTTAAATCTGTCTGTGTGGTGCACACTCCCCTTCTTTGTTCTTTTCTTAAATCTGAGCGTTGCTGACAGCTGAGGCTCATCGTACGCACCTTGAAGCCCATCTTGCCCTTCTTACAGCAGAGGCAGGCCAGCATGAGGAAGACGAAGGCGAAGAGGCCGGAGAAGGAGATGGCCACCACAGCCAGGGAGGACGAAAAGGACATGTCACTCAGCGGAGCGCCATCTGCAGGACGAACACAACATCACACTTTCACATCAGATTAATGAACATTGAAGCAGAAAGTCCTGATGCATGCTCATCAGGGCACCAGCGATCGATTGTTAGACTGACGGTCCTCCTTTTACACGTGCACAGCCAGTTCTGGATGTCCCAGCAAACGGGTTGATCCACTTTGACAAGGTGCTGTTTATAGGACTGAGTTTGTTGTGGCTCCTCAGACTGAAGAAGTCCTTCGGATGAAACATGAAACGTTTCAATAAAAAGAATCCATCCAGAGGACCTGACTTCAATTTCTGGATTAAAGCAGGAACACAGAGATTTTATGATCTTATTGCTTTCTTTGATATCACAAGTTTCCATCCAGAACGATTCACGTTTAATTCATCGCACTGAATCCAGATTTGATGAGAATAAAATGTATTTTTTGTAATAATGTCCCTGCTTTGTTTCTTACCGTTGATAAAAGAAACTTTAAACTTGATGCTCACTGTCAGTTTGTGCAGATCTCAGGAGAAATATGCATTTTTTAAATTATTAATTCAATTCAGTTTATTTATAAAGCGCCAAGTCACAGCAGAAGTCATCTCAGGGACTGAACAGAAACATTCATAAAAATAATAATTTAACAGAAACATTCATAAAAATAATAATTTAACAGAAACATTCATAAAAATAATAATTTAACAGAAACATTCATAAAAATAATAATTTAACTCTATTAATACACCAGATTTCAGATCAGTTTTTTATTTACTGATCATGCAAAATATCTGCGGTGTACAAACGAACTAAAGCTTTGTGGTTTTCAATTGTATTATATATTTTATTTATTTATTTATGCTTCAAAAAGTTTCATTTCAAGTATGTTTGCCTTTCTCTGTCAATATGGATGAAATATTTAAAAATAGGTTGAAGTTTTGGTAGAACAAAGTAAGTCTAAGTTTAAAAACGATGATAACTGATCATGAATATGTAAAATTTATAATTAAAGTGAACGGAGAACTCAAAATTGAATCCTCTCGTTGGTGAAAAGTTTGATTTAGTATCTGCAGCAGGAAATCGTGATTTATTCATAAATCATTCTGATGTCAAACTTTCATTTCTGACAAAACTAATATTAAACAAGACGTAGAAAATAAACCAATTTTAATGTTTCAGTTTAAGCAGGATTTGTGTAAACTGCTTTTCTTAATTTAAAACAAAATGTATCTTGAAAATAAAAATATATTTACATGACCTGCACCTTTGAACAGGTTATTTTTTCCACGGTTGTTCTGTCAGGCACATTTCCTTATTTTTCTTAGTTTATTTATGTATTTTTGACTGTTCTGAATGCATTAATGGGTGGAGACAGAAGACGTGAGGGTCAAGCTGAGATGATGAGGAAAAATGGGGCAAAGTGGGCGACAAAAAACTGAAACGAGGACATTTTAAACATATATTTGTGTTAAAAGCAACGTTGAACTTAAAGAAACTAATTAAAATTTCAGTCCAACCGTCTGATCATATCATGTAGAGCTGATCTTCTGTTAATCAGGAGCAAAACAACAAACATGTTTTAATTAAAGGTAAACGTTGAATCCAGATCTAATCGCCCCAAATGCAGAATTAGATCTAATTCATCCACACGCAGCTTCTGGAAGCTCAGAGTTTCCAGATGGACCTACTGTATTTATATCATTTTACTTGGTTTGATCATTTAACATTGTTTTAAATCTGCTTTATGAATAAAGTTAATTGAATTCCTTTTCCTGCGTCTCTCTGAGCCTCAGCAAAGTCTTGATGCTTCCAGTTCCTCCCAATCTCACGTTTCATTTTTCCTTTAACGCTGTAATTTCCTTTATCCTGCAACGACTTCTGACATACAACGGTTACCACGGAAACAGATAGCAAAGCAGGTTTTCCTTCAGCTGCAAATCTCTCACATTGATTCTGCCAACAGCAGTGGCACGCACACACGC